TATATATATGTATATATATATATATATGTATATATATATATATATATATATATATATATATATATATATATATATATATATATATATATATATATATGTATGTATATATATATATATGTATATATATATGTATGTATATATATATGTATGTATGTATATATATATGTATATATATATATATATATATATATATATATATATATATATATATATATATATATATATATATGTCTGATTGAATAAATTACAGACATTATGTCTGCTAATTTTTAATAAAATCAGTTCATACTCACGAATAACCTTCCGTGTATTGATGTTAAAAGATGAGAGAAATGTGCTATAGCTGTTTAAATTTCTTTTACATTTATATTTTCCATGTATATTTCGTCATATATATATATATATATATATAAAATATAGAATTTGCTGCCTAAATACACAAATATATATATTAAAAAGAACGTTAAACATAAAAAAAATGTCTTTAATAAATAAATTGTCGGACTTTGTCAATTTCTTAATATATATATATATATATATATATATATTGAAGAATAAAAAAATATTAAAAAAATTAATATCTTCAGGCACACTGGGTTGTAGATTAATATTCTTTCGTTTATTTATATTATTATTTCATTTAGATCCCTCGACTAGTTTCGGCCAACATGGCCATCATCAGGAGAAAAAATATTTCTGCTTGCTGGTAGCACTAAACTACAGAAATGAATGTTATGATCGAGAAAATGAACTTTTGTCTGTAGTTTTCATTTGTTTTGTTTTTTTATTTTTTTAATATGAATTTTGGTCAATCCTTGTGTTGGTCAAACAGTCTCTTTTATGTTGTTATTTAAGATACGAGCTGGATGGAGTCATGCTGCTCTGAATTCCTTCGTCATTTTGACAGTTTTATTGGTTCCTGAAACATATTATATATATATATATATATATATATATATATATATATATATATAATATTTAAATTTGTATTTTCTTTTATTTATTTGATATGTAAAATTGTAAATTCAAACTTTTAGATTCAAAGTGTGATTATTTAGCGTTTATAAAAGAGAATTTATTGAAGCCAATTTTCGTGGATTCTTATTTGCATAGAAGTTCATGATTTTATCATAGTCTAACTGAATGTCTTATTTACATAAAAGTTCATGATTGTATCATTAGTTTAACTGAAAGTCTTTGTGAATATACAAAAAGAACAAGCGCGTTAAATTTGCCTTCACTCATTGAGCGACTCTTTTTGATGTTTCTTAATAAACTTCAAGGGTGAGTTTGATCGTTCAACAGAAATTTCTCAGAAATTTTAGCACGTCTATTATCTTTACGTCTGCCACCCGGGATCCGTCAATGCAACTCGTTCAGAAATGTAAGTAGAAGAGAAACGTAATGATACAATCAAGATGTTGACATTCCACACTACTTTAAACCAAAGGTTAGGTAGGAAACTCCCACCGGTACTAGAAAAAGGGATAACAGTAAACTAGAGATGTTTAGTTTTCTGGAAAAGATTTTATAAATTTCAACTGATTGTAATGCTGACTGTTCGGCCAATAAATGCCAGGTGTTTCCTTATGAGGAAACGGTTAATCTCGCCATTACTATTACAAATGTGGCCCTTTCATGTAATATATATATATATATATATATAGTATCAAATGACAATTGGAAAAAAATGTATGTTTTTTTTTTCCAATTGTCATTTGATACCAATCTGTCTTGTCCACAGAATTCATCTGGGAATTTAACTATATATATATATATATATATATATATATTAATCATTTCACTCCAAGCAAGACAATGTAGCCATTAATACGCAAGGGATTGCTGTGTGTGACAGAATATGAGAAAAAATCTGTTGTATCGTATGCAAATTAGATAGACAAGTATAAATAGAGAACAACTGGCGAACATAGGATGGCTATGCCTCGCAAACCCGGTAACTATTCAGGACACGGAGAACTGTACTGCGACTACTACTACGCAGAGAGATATGTAAAACTTAACAAAAACATTAAGGAGAGAGAACAATAAAAGAACAGGAGTTAAGAAGATGGAATATAACGATTGGCATTGCATTTAAATTTTTAAAGATCAAAGTTTATTGGAGAGCAAGAAGCCGGAAGAGTGTTTTACAAGCGAAAAGCGCGAGAGAAGAATCTGTTAGCATAGAACTTACATCACTCCATTTAATAATAGCTTAGGCAATGAAGGAGTTGCCGATTGGTTTTAGAATCAGGATATTGGTATGGTGTTGTTTTGAAAGTAAAAGTGTAAAAAAAAAAGGCGTCTTGGTTCTTTAGTTTTATTGGATTTTTTATTTATATTTTTACTGGTTTATTTTTTAATGAAGAAAGAAATTTTTTTAAAAGTAGGGAAGATTATAATAAATAATAAAAGCAAAAGTGGCGAAATTCTGACTGCAGATTCATTTTGAAGAGTTTTTTTTTTTTTTTAGTTCATTTTTCTCACATTTTGGTACGGGCAAAAGAAAATGATGGAGAGGCTTAGGCAGAAGATGGAGGAGGGTGTAAAACGCTATGAACGCTTCGATAGAGGTTGGGTGGGTGGGTTTTTTTTTTTTTTTTTTTTTTTTTTTTTACAGAAAGTTAAAGTAAAAGAGAAAGAAGGTTTGGGTGAAGAACAAGAATGATTATCATTAGCTTCCTCCGCCACCTCCCCTCATTTCTGCAATTGCTCGTTCGATGAACCACGCCCGTCTCCCCCATTCGCCACTGCCGATTTCCGCCTTATATCTCTTCACTTCACTTTCGCCTTTCATCATCTCTCCTAAACCAAGGAAAATTTTGCTATCTTCGTCATCTTGAAAATTCCGTTTTCTACCTCGGCCTCTGCCACAATTGTCATTAGCACACTTTCTTACTTAACGCATGCCTTATCAAATTCGCCATCATTTCTACTACTTTAACACTCAATCGTTATTTATTAGCATTTACTCTCACTCTCTTGCTCACCGTCTACCCTCTCTATTTTATCATTCTATTTCTAAACCTACAACCCCTAACTGTACACAACTTCCTCGTTTTGTATATTTTGTAATCTTTCTATTATCCCCTCTTCAATCTATCCTATCCCCTCTATCTATCTGTTCATCATTGTATCTATATAATTTTGCTCCCATTCTATTCTGTCTATCATTGTATCTATCTATCTGTCTATCATTGTATCTATATAATTCTATTGCTATCTAATTCTATTCCTATCTATCTATCTGTCTATCTATCATTCTATCTATATAATTCTATTGCTATCTCATTCTATTCCCATCTATCTATCTATCTATCTATCTATCTATCTGTCTATCTATCTATCATTCTATCTATATAATTCTATTGCTCTATTCTATTCTATCTATCATTCTATCTATATAATTCTATTGCTATCTAATTCTATTCCTATCTATCTATCTGTCTATCTATCTATCATTCTATCTATATAATTCTATTGCTATCTAATTCTATTCCTATCTATCTATCTGAGTATCTATCTATCATTCTATCTATATAATTCTACTGCTATCTCATTCTATTCCTATCTATCTATCTATCTATCTATCATTCTATCTATCTATCTATCTATCTATCTATCTATCTATCTATCTATCTATCTATCATTCTATCTATATAATTCTATTGCTATCTAATTCTATTCCTATCTATCTATCTATCTATCTATCTATCATTCTATCTATATAATTCTATTGCTATCTATTCCCATCCTATCTATCTATCTATCTATCCCATTCAATCATTCTATCTATATCTATATATCTAATTCTATTCCCATCTATCTATCTATCTATCTATCTATTCTATCTATTGCTATCTCATTCTATTCCCATCTATCTATCTGTCTATATCATTCTGTCTATAAAATTCTACCGCTAATTCTAACTATCTATCTATCTATCTATCTATCAACTTCCTATATAATTTTTGTCTAATTCTTTTCTATCTATCACATCATTCTATCTATATATTATCCCCTCTATCTGTCTATCTATCTATCATTCCTATATAATTCTTTATCCCATTCTATTCCCATCTATCTATCGCATTTTATTCCCCATCTATCTGTTGCTATCTATCTATCTATATATCTATCTATCTATCTATCTATCTATCTATCTATCCCCATTTTATTTCTATCTATATAATTCTATTTCTATCTATCTATTCCTATATCTATCTATCATTCCATTTATAATTCCTATTGCTATCTATTCTATTCTATCTATCTATCCCATTCTATCTATCCTATCTATCTATCTATCTATCTATCCCATCTATTCCTATCTATCTATCTATCTATCTATCCCATTTTATTCCTATCTTTCTATCTATTCATCCCATTCCTATTTATTTATCTATCTATCTATCTATCTTATCTATCATAGCATCGTCCATTCTATTCCTATCTATCTATCTATCTATCTGCTATCTATTCTATCTATCTATCTTATTTCTTTTCAAAATCTATCTTAAAACATTGGAAGATCGTGGTGCCAATTAGAAAAAAAAGATCTCCAGATTTCTTTTCCTATCTCCAATTTATTTCCTCTAATTTATAACAATCTCTATTTTTATATAAGGTAGTGTAACGGTTATCTTCGTAGAAAGCGGAATCGGCGAACCGAGTTCAAATTCCTGCCTCGTCTGTTGCATTCACTTTCGCACAAATATCGTTGGGAAGGCATATTTTTCTCCCCAGGGTTAAATAACATGGTAGATAGACTGGGTTCTGTTTTTATGGGATCAATTTAGCACATTCTTGTATCGCAAGGGATCAACTTGCTATTGAGCAATGGATAGATCGCCATCTTGGAAGCCAATATAACTTTAAGCCAAAATCTCCTTTTTTATAAGTAACGCTAAAATATAAAACATTCTTTTTTATATGCAGAATTGACTTATTGATATATTTTGGCACTAATTTTAAGAAACGCTTATCACGTTATATCACCTTAAAACACTGGTTCGCATACGATCAGCGAAGCTAAGCAACGTGCAGCCTGGTCGGTACCTTGATGGGTGACCGCTTGCGAATTTCAGGTGCTGCAGGTCTGCGTGTGGTGCAGTGGGTAACGGTAAGGAATTGGAAAACCGGGCAGCCGAGTTCCAATTCCAATTGGGTTCGTTAAATTCACTTTACACGCAAGTACCCTTAGGTAAGGTATGAATTCACCTCTTCTCCATCCAGCTATTGGTAAATTAGTAGGACTTGTGTCAGCAAATCATTATTATAATTTCATGTAAAATATTTTCTGGCTTTAAATAACCTGCAAAAGAGGTTTATAAGCCGTAAGATACAAAGCAATCGAGAGAGATAAACAAATCTGTAAAAAAAAAAAAAATTATACAATGATATGCACCCTGTATAAGGCCCGAGAGCCACTCGAGGTAGAGGGTTAGAGAGTAAGAACAGTTTGTGCGGATATGTGAGGAAGATAACGGTTAACCGTAGACTTGATCAAGTTAAGATTAGCATCGTCTTGGGAATCGGTTAAAATGAAAGAACTGCCTATTTCAGTTTCATTAATATTTTTTGGCATTTGATTTGCAATATGATGGAGGGGGGGGCGTTGCCAGGCAACAAACCGAACAATCGAATTCCTGGCCCAGAAAAACAAGTATTTTCTGTTTCAATTAATCACTTAAATAAGTTTCTGTAAATTCTCATGCTTTTTTCTTTCTGATGTATCTTTGAGATCTTTCAAAGACCTTAATTCTCAAAATATTTTTTTTCTTTTTGTTAACTTGGTAAATTACTCATGACCCATGCGAGCACCTACTACCTCATTACTATTTACATTTTTTACATTCGGACTCATGCCCTCATCTTTGTTTCAACTGTTTTAGCCTTCGGCCTTCTCCAGGTTTCTCTCGATTTGGATAACCTTCGTGGAATTTCGAACTGAATCGTTTGTTTAATCCTTCTTGGAGGGGGAGATTGTTTTCGTTCAACTATACATGTCTTGAAATATCTCATCATGCTTTTTCCGTGTCCTTTTTTTCTTTTTCTTTTCTTCTTCCTTTCTTTTTTCTTCTTCTTTCTTTCTTTTTCTTCTCTTCCTTTCTTTTTTCTTCTTCTTTCTTTCTTTTTCTTCTCTTCCTTTCTTTTTTCTTCTTTCTTTTTCTTCTCTTCCTTTCTTTTTTCTTCTTTCTTTTTCTTCTCTTCCTTTCTTCTTTCTTCTTCTTTTTATTTTCTTCTCTTCCTTTCTTTTTTCTTCTTTCTTTCTTTTTCTTTTCCTTTCTTTTTTCTTTTTCTTTTTTCTTTTACTTCTCTTCCTTTCTTTTTTCTTCTTCTTTCTTTCTTTATCTTCTTCCTTTTTTCTTCTTTTTTTCTTCTTCTTCCTTTTTTTCTTCTACTCCCTTTTTTCTTCTTCTTCCTTTTTTTTCTTCTTTTTTTAGTGCTGCCCAGTTATTGCTTGCCCTATTTCCACTGAGTCTGAATCTGTACTACCTAACCCAGGGATTGAACTCACAATTACTATGCCACCAAATTCATGATCCAATGCTTTATTTTACTAGTAGTGAACAATTTTGAGACTAAATCTCGTTTTGTTCTTTTTTAATATTGCTCAGTTAGTTCTTGGTAGTCCTGTTTCGCTGAGTTTGAATCTGTACTACCCAACCCAGGGATTGAACTCATATCTAATTATGCCACTTTACAATGTAAACTGAAATAGTGCTTTCATAGTATAATACACAATTCACCTGAAAGATGGCGTAAGGTTATAGAAAGTTAGGAAAAACACTTTGCTGACTGAATAATGATGCTATGAAATTATATGAAAAAATTTGTCGAAAAATACGGTGGAATAATGGATAGAAGATTGAGGAATCCATTACATTCACTTACGCGCTAATACCCTTGGGAAAGGTATGAAACTTCTTCTCCCCACCCCCAAGCTATGGATAAATAGCAGGACAGACCGGTTTCTATAGACTTGGGTGGAAACTGGTCTACCGCAGAAAGAAATGGCAACCTACTGCGAGAAAAAATCTGCCTCGTCAGTCATGTATCGAAAGATACATGATCGCGTAAGCGTGTATCACGCGTGGCACATAACTGACTGAACGATTACATTGTCCAATTTTAAAGTGTATGCAAATACAAGCAATAATTAGCCAAGTAAATTCCAAAGACAGTTCTAAGATTTCTCTAATATCGTGTAAAAAAACGATGTTGGAAACTTTAGTAAAATAGGCAATAATCGGCGTTATGTGACCCATGGAAATTTCCATGTGTCAGTCGTCTTTTCTTAATCAACTCTTCATGTTTTTGTCGTGTCACTTTCTTTATCTTCTTTTTTTATTGTTTATTGCTTCCCAATTTATCATCGATTCGAACACTTCTTTCTTTCTTTCTTTCTTTCACTTTAACCTTTCCTCTTCCTCCTCTTCCTCCCTGTCTTTCGTCTCTCAAACTTCCCTACCTCCCCCGACTTCTTTACAGGTTTTTCCAAACCTGATAATTCATTATACCACTATCACTGACACCTTATCCCCACCTCACACACACTGCCATTTTCTGCCACTTCTCACTGAATGAGTTTTCCCTCTGTAATGAAAAGGCCCACAGCATTTGTGTAGACCCCCAACCGCCATTTCTGATTCGTAGTTTGCGCATTCAGAGGACCAACTCCTGTTTTCCGTGACAGAACTCACGGCGCGCCATGACAAAGAAAGAGAAGAAAAAACACCTTCAGTTTGTGACATGACGGTCTCGCTTCTGTGGCGTACACTGTTATGGTTTTTTTCCTCTTTTCTCTCTTTCACGCAAGGCGATTGTCGCTGGAGGTCACACGTATCTGAAGATAAAAATACTGACTGCGTTGGCAGCTCTGATCAGCGAAAGTCGCCATGCTGAGAAGCATGACTGAAACAAAAGGAAAGAAAAAAGGAAAGATTTAGAAACGAGAGAAGAAGAAAAAAAAACAGACAATACAAAAAAGAAGAGAAAAACGTAGGAGAAATAGAAATGAAAAGGAAAAAGAAGAGTGATAAGTGAGAGTGAGAGAAAGACATGATGGAAAATAACCGCTGAAAGAAAAATGGATAGAAAATGAAAAGGAAAAAATACTCTTGAAAAAGAACGAAATATTTTAGAAGACAGTAAGTATTGGATGAAGAGTCAAGGAAAGATTTTTAAATCTTTAAAGAGATGGGGAAAAAGAAGGAAAAAAAAGAAAGATGCATTGGCGAAAGAATCATCTGAAACGTTTGTTCGAATTAAAAAGGCATTGGACGGGTTTATTTTTCATTTGTAACTCAACGAAATGTTTTAAAAAGACTCATAGATCTAGCAGAAAAAATATGTACAAAGCAAAAGCCTTTCATTTATCTGCGATCAGTTTTTGAAAGTCTCAGTGCAAAATCCCACTTCGTGATCTATTAACGAAGATAATACCGTATCTTCTGCTTGTTTGCATTCAGTTCGATGACATACGCGAAGAGAAACTGCTAACAGGATATTTAACATAGGTCTAATTAACCCTCTCATTCATTAGTGTAAATTTTTTACACGATAGTTTCAAAATATACTTCTCACATTGTGCATTAATGTAACCATAACCTCGTTCTGATATAAATATAAGATTGTTAAACTTGATTTATCATTTAATACATATCCTCCTGGTGTCAATTTAAACGTTTATTTTTATCATTTCACTTCAAACAGCCACTAAGATTGTTAGAGAATACAGTGTAACCCGGATATAACAGACCTGGATATAAGAGAAACCCGGATATAAGAGAGATTTTCTCTGGTCCCAAAGTGTTCCCATACTTACCTAAACAAAATAGACCAAACCCGGATATTTTTACTTCTTCTCCGGTCCCGACAACTCTCTTATATCCGGGTTACACTGTATAAGAAAAAAAATACTGTTAAGGAAAGAGAACAATAAAAGAACAAGAATTAAGAAGACAGAAGATAACGATTGACATTATATTTAAATTTTTGAGGATCAAAGTTGACTGGGAAGCAAGGTTATTTATCTCCCCGCCCGCGAGGTAGGATGTGGCACAAGACTGCTATTTAATGCGGGGTAAAACCGAGCCTGTAAGCTCGGGCAAAAATTCCCCATAGACACCGTAAAGAAGTCGGGTAGCTGTCTTTGGCATAGCCTCGTTCGATTCGCTTAGCTGGAGACGAACGTCCAACTAATTGCCGAAGCAAGTCGGGAAGCAAGAAGCCGGAAAAAAAAGTTCCACGAGCGAGAAGCGCCATAGAAGAAACTATTAGCATAGAACTTACGGTTAAATTTAACTATTTCAACTGTAAAATGAGAACTTGCCTCAAATCTAGTACTGCGCTTAAGTTTATAAAGCCTAGGTACCATAGAGGAAAGTTTCTCGGAACAGTTACCATGTAAGTATCTATAGAAAAGGCACTGGGAAAGTACGTTACGGCATTGGGAAGTGACTGAACCCGAGATGCCAGATCAGGACCAATAACATTGCAGGTTCTTTGAATTTTATCAAGGCTCTCTAAATGTATAGCAGGAATACCAGACTAGATGTAGCAGTAATATTCAAAACAAGGATGAATGGTATACATATAGATATGTAAGACAGATTCTGGCGAGAAAAATTGTCTCGGACGATACAGTGAACCCACTTTCCCAGCTGCAGACCTAACAGTTGATTCAATATAATCTTTCCACTTGATGTCAGCAGAAAACATTAAGAAGACGCTATGAGTCACTCTCCTCGAGGGATGGCTTCTCTTTTTTTACGATATATTATGATTATTTTCCTTAAAGTTCATATTTTCTTGATCTCAGACGAAAACTTGGAAATTTTCCAACATATTTCACTTAAATTTTTATTTTTCAAAAGTTAGTTAATTATACGTTGGGGTGAGGGAGAAAGGCATCGTTTTAAATTGACGCCAAGAGGATATAGATCAAAATTAACCAATTCAACTGCAAGTCGTATTTTTTTGGTAACCGTGCGTATGGTATATATTACAAATCTTGACTTGATATCCTCTTACTTATTATAAAACGCAGATTGTGTGTGTGTGTGTGTGTGTGTGTGTGTGTGTGTGTGTGT